ACACTATAGAAGCTTTCCATAGTGGTACACCTGCATTTCCAATGAAAACTTAAGGCAGACCAATAAAAAGCAAGCAAACAAACGGCATTTCCCAAGTTCACAGTAGCACTGGGTCACACATGAATTAGACTTTACTGGCAGATGTGACCACTACACTATGTACAGACAGAAATCTGTGATATAGGAAGACATCCTCAATCCTGTCTATTGCTGTTGGAAAGGCACAGGGTTGTGTGGTACTGGAGTGCACCGTAGCCTGGGTACCATGGAGACTGGCAGTTTCCTAATACTGACCAAGGTGTTCCTTACCTTGGACACTCGGGTCTAGGATATGGTTTCTGAAGCACAGCTCACAACGATATTTTCAGCTCTCCTTACAATTTCATGACTGATCAGTTTCTTATCAGAGGATAAATAAAACTAAGGACAGTAACTGCTCCCTTTTTCCTAAAAGCCTATGTTTTATTCCTCTCATCTTCTGATCATGTGCCACTGGTTATTTGGAACTATTTGGAATTCCATGGATTGGTAAATGACTTGGACCTGTAGCAAGATTTTAGTCCCCGGTGCTTCTAGCAATGGCAATAAAATAAAATATGAAATGAGATTAAATGATTTTATGATAGGAGCTAGAGGAGGCAGATTAGTACATCTGATTTGGTTTAAACTGTATAATCCAAATGAAAAAAATGTGAACAGAGAACTCAGATACTAGAGAGAGAGGAAAATGGATCATGAAATAATGAGATGGAAAGGTTGCCACTGAGAAAGAGGAACTTGATAAATTTCTGATTTCTTCCACTGGACAAAATAAGATTTTTGGCTCTGGATCTCATTTGTACTGAGTCCGAGTATCTATGTCAGCCTTACCATGAACCATTCTAAATAAGTTTCAAGAAAACAATCAAATCGACCATGGAAGGGAGTTGGGAAAATACTCCTGTCTATTCTTTCCTTCCTTTCTTACTTCCCTGCTTTTTGCCTTCTCTCCTTCCATCCTCCCCTCCCTCCCTCTCTTCCTTCCAGTTCTCTTGTTTCCTCTTCCTGTTTACCTCCCCTTCGCTGTTATGTGCATCTACTCACTAGTTCATGCAGACTCTGTGTTAGTGCTAATGTCCAACAGGCATTGCCAGGTATTCCATGGGAAAATCACAATCATCTGAGGGCTTCATGACTAGGCAGAAAGGCTTGCCCCGGGGCCTGACCTAATAGTTCCAAGACATGTATTATACTACTCATTCTTTCAGACAAACTGATTTTGTCCTAGGAGAAAAATAAACAAAATGGAGAAAAGTGGAAATGATAGCAGAGGAAGAGTATGTTAAAAGTAGAAATTCAAAATAAATTCTGAGTGTTACAGTACCTAAGATCGACAATATCATATAATGGCGCAATTACATAAAAATGGACATCAGTGGAGAGAGGCAGAATTTTTTGTTTGTTTCTTTGCTAGGGCAACATTTTATATTTATTGCTGCCATACAACATCCAAATACAAAGTACAAAATATAAAGACTGAATGTACAAAGATATGTTAAAGTAAATTAAAATGAGGATAAGACTTAAAGAATCCTTGAGCAGACAAAGCCACTTAGGCTTCTAAAGTGACCTTAATCTTATTTGACTAGCAAACATGTAGAATTTAACTTGGACTATTTCTTTTAAAAGCCTATGGTAAAGAAAAACAGAACTCAAGCTTAACTGGTCAGAAGAAACCAACATATGTCATATATAACACTATATATAATTTTATATAACTATGAATTATAAAACCACAGACTTTCAAACAGATTAGGTCAAATAAGGCATCTTTGTTAGGGTAACTAATCAAATAATTTCTTTTCTTTAATTCTATATTCAGCCTTTTAAGTTTTCCTACCCCTTGCATGTTCTTGGTAAAGCTCTTGAACAACTCAGTTTGCACTGAGTTCCACTTCCAAAAATTTATTTTGCCTCAGTTAACCTTTTTTTTTGAGAGATTTTCACTGTAGGGCGCGTGCGCTCGCCAGACAGACAGAGAGAGACATAGAGACAGAAAGCGAGAAATCAGCCCCCAGGGGGGATGGTCACACCGCAATCCCTTCTCCTCCATTCTCCTCTCGGGATCTTGGACACGCACGCACACGCGCCCGGCGTGAGTTTTAAGCCACCGGGTCCGGACACAAACCGCGGTCGACTACGTGGGAGTCCAGCGACATAGCCATTATGCTAACTGCTGGTTCCCTCAGTTAACCTTTTTAACAGATGAATTACATGACAGAGATCAGAATTAGAGGCACAGATTAGGAAATTTTTAGAAAACTAAAAACATATCTACTGTAAGTCCATTTTTACAGTGCGACAAACTTGATACTCTGCAACTTACACACTATAAATGCAGGCTTGTAGAAAAAATGGTATCAAAGACCACTTATTTTATAAAATTATATCCAGGATATTAATTAAAGTGATGAGAAAGCTAATACATTTATAAGCACAATTTAATATTTCCCAGCATTTATCCCAAATGTCAGTCAATCCTTTATAACTTATACTCAGAACGGAATACTTCCTCCTTTGAGATGTGAATCCTACAAGTAATTGACTTTTAATAAGGCACATTATTATCAAAATTGAAATACGATGCATGGTTTTCATTAATCATTTGTTTTTCCTGCATTAAACAGGATTAAACATTTTGATTTTTATAACGTCTTAATTAGATACCATGGTGCTGTGAAAAGCACAGGAATTTTGAAGACACTACACCAACACAATTAGTGCTAAATGGTGGCCATTCTATATATTTTCATTATTTTTCTTATGTCCCTATATTGACAAATATTTCCCAAAAATTTGACAACACTTCCACATGATTTATTCATGCTGCACTATATTGGGGGAAAAATGATTTGTAAGCTTTGCTGAGTCATTCTGCCATGTACTAATTGTTAATATGATGATGTAGTTTAAAGAAATGCATGCTGTAACCCAATAGACTTGACTCGAATGAATGCCATGTACTAATTGTTAATATGATGATGTAGTTCAAAGAAATGCATGCTGTAACCCAATAGACGACTCGAATGAATGTTCCAAGAAAGAGAAGATCAACAGAAAAATTCAGAACGAAGAACTGAAATACAGAGGCCACCTGAATCTCAACAGAGCTCTCGTAAGTAACAACCCACTACAGAGGTTGAAAGTGGTGCCCTTGTGAAGATAAAGACAAGACAGACAGCCAGATAGGCTCTCTTACTTTGCTTTCGATATACGCCAGTGTTCTTTTTCAGTTATTTGAATGTCTAAAGGGTTCTGCACCATAATCCTAGAATCACAGGCTCTGCTGATATTTTATTTTCTAGCCATAATCAGATAATGTAAAAAAATAAGAACTCAGGGAAAACTAAGTCAGTTCCATAGTGTCACGTATTAAGAAGATTCAGAAAAAACAATGATTAAAAAGAATGAAAATACAATAGAATCAACAAGGCACTTTAAATCGCTCTTCCTTTCCTTTCTTCTGTACTTTTTTCCACATCAAAGAACTGCTTTAATGTCATAATCAGAGTAGTAGTGCAGAATATTGATACCAAAGCATTGATACAATCTATTTTTAAACTTTGATATCAAGGTGAAAAACATTCAGTAATAATATACTTCATTCGTATTTTTTAAATTTCTCAGACAAGACAAATGGAAGGATAATAAAGGATAAAGAGATAGACTTGGGATTCAAGTTAAATCTTAATTACTAGAATTGATCAAGAAAGATTTATTATTGATTAGTCATGATTCAATAGTCGTAATTAATTTCATTGAAAAATAGAAAGGTAGAAATAATAATGATGGAGAAATTATAGAAAATAAAGTTGTCGTATAATACTCTAGAGATACAGTAAAAAAAGAAAATGAAAGCAAGATTTGTAATAAGTTCTAGCATGTTATAAGGATAATTACAGCTGGGCTATGTTCAAACCTACGTTACTCTGAAATCACGTTTTTATTATAGATTGGCTCTTTCTAGCATGCAGCTAATTTCCAGCTATTTTTTCCTTCAGTGCTCATGTCTTTTGGTAGACAAATGTTTAAAATAAAAATAAATATTTTGTGTTAACTCAAGTACAATATGATTAGAAAGACATGAGTAGGAGAGGTTTGGAATAAGAACATTATTACATATGGAGAGTGAGAGAGAGATTATTTACTTATTGAAATTCTTTTCTTTTTTTTGGAGAGGTTTTCACTATAGGGCGTGTGCGCTCATCAGACAGACAGAGAGAGACAGAGAGACAGAAAGCGAGAAACCACCCCCCAGGGGGGATGGCCACGCCGCAATCCCTTCTCCTCCATTCTCCTCTCAGGAGCTTGGGCACACACGCACATGCGCCTGGCGTGAGACTTATTGAAATTCTTAACCTTCTAGTTTCTCTCCATTAGCCTAAAACTGAAAGTCAAATTTCCATTCTATCATACTCCAAGCTGTCCTTTCTAGCATGCAGCTAATTTCCAGCTATTTTTTCCTTCAGTGCTCATGTCTTTTGGTAGACGAATGTTTAAAATAAAAATAAATATTTTGTGTTAACTCAAGTACAATATGATTAGAAAGACATGAGTAGGAGAGGTTTGGAATAAGAACATTATTACATATGGAGAGTGAGAGAGAGATTATTTACTTATTGAAATTCTTTTCTTTTTTTTGGAGAGGTTTTCACTATAGGGCGTGTGCGCTCATCAGACAGACAGAGAGAGACAGAGAGACAGAAAGCGAGAAACCACCCCCCCAGGGGGGATGGCCACGCCGCAATCCCTTCTCCTCCATTCTCCTCTCAGGAGCTTGGGCACACACGCACATGCGCCTGGCGTGAGACTTATTGAAATTCTTAACCTTCTAGTTTCTCTCCATTAGCCTAAAACTGAAAGTCAAATTTCCATTCTATCATACTCCAAGCTGTCTAAAATTTATTGCACTTGTGTCAATTCTTTGATTTTATAACATTTGCCTGAAATATATATCTTACCTCATTTTGGAGGTCTCGGATCATTTTGCTCTTTCTTTCCACTTCGGTCTTTAAAAAATTAATCTGAAAATGAGTAGAATGTTATGTAGACACATTTCAAATTCAATCCATGGCTTTTATAATTTTTTATGATTTTGAGGTATAATAAAATCATCCTTTTTAACAAACATTGACAAAAAGCAAAGAATCAAAAGTTTTATTATCCCAAAATTATGTTAAATCATACAAGTACTCATAATTTTTTTTCCATATAACTTTTTTTTTTTTAAATTGAGGACCCATGCATGTTATAACTGTGATTCTCTTACTTGGCTAAGCCTCATTTTAGAAAGTGTGACACTGTTTTAAAAACATAGATTTTAGGGTTGTACTTAGGAATCTATTTCTTAAACACTCACCCATAATTTTGATCTGTGACCAGGTTTAAAAGCAATTGTAAACACATGTGCCCTAAAGCAAAAACCTCTCCAAAAAAAAAAAAATTGTAAAGTGATGGTCTTTAAATCTAAATAATAGGACATTATAAACATTTGTACCAAAAAGAAAATTATAGCTCCTTCTGATATGATATTATTTAGATCTAGAACTAACTTTAGGTATATATTCAAACTGTATTTGCATGTATATTCAGTTTTATCTGCCCTGAGTACTTTATATTTTTCTTTATACAAAAAAAGACAATATAGTATAGTGGTCAAGAATTTTATAGAATTTGCAGCCTTTATGATAACTGAGAATTCACTAGTCATCAAGACTTTATCACTCTTATAAAACAAACCTGTGTGTCTCTGGTAACAAAGGCTCCCTACCGCTTTTGCCACTACTATGGGTGGGTGTCATAGATACATTTTTACAAACCTAAGAATATGATGAAATTAATTTTCTAGTACATTTTATTGACTCTCTTAAAATATTATAGTCATTAACAACCTATCGTATAATAGATGTATTGTAATTTATATACTACAATAAAGAAGTTTCATCTTTAACAATCTATTACCTAATATAATTTGTATTTTACTGTAATTTATAATTACTGTATCAAAATTGTATATATTTATAGGGTAAAGTGTGTTTTTTCAAAACATGTTTACATTGTATAAAATGAACAAATCACAGCAATAAAAATATCTAGCAATTTCAACATTTATCATTACTATGTATTGTGCTCATTTTTCTTGCTCAGGAGTTAGAAATCTTCCAAACAGTGCTCATATAATTTTCCTGTGTACAGAACATGGACCAACTGTTCTGTTCATAAATTCAGTACATCCAGTGTTCTGATGACTCATTGACTCTTCATAATTACTTGGAAATATGTCTTGACTTTATACCACCTACCTCTACTACGCTATAGTACTTGATAATGCATTCCACTCATGCATATGCGCCCTTGTGCTGCTAACCAAGTTCTCCTCATTTTCCCTCCACTCTCCCCTTTGGAGTCTGGCATCCACCATTGTGTTCTCTACTTCCTGCAAAAACTTTCGGCTTCCATTACGGAGTGAGGACATACGATATTCGTCTTTCAGTGCCTGGCTATTTCACTTAGCCTCATTTCCTCCACACTCATTCATTGACAATTTCTCAAATGACAGAAATTCATTCATTTTATGACTAGTATTCCATTAAGTACACATTTCTTTATTTTTTTTTGTAATATGTCTTTTAAAAAAAGAATTATTTAACTGCATTAATTCATTTATTTTTAATTTGACCAGAAAAAAACACAAACACAGAGAGAGAGAGAGACAAGAGACAGAGAGACAGAGAGACAAAAGGGAGAAAGCAATCCACCAGCTCCAGGAATTGCACTGTGGTCAGCCATGTGGGAGTGTCCAGCACCTTAACCACCATGCCACCTGCTGGTCCCTTTGTAGTATGTCTTTAAAATCCAATGTGTGTCTTAACACTTCACCACATCTCAGATTGAATTAGCCTTATTTAAAATATTCAATCCCTTCATGTCTTGTACAACATAGTCTTAGAAGATTCCTGGAATGAAGAAAGAGACTTATAATTTAAGAGACTCATTTGTGGAGACAGACTGAGTCAGTCAATTTCCTCAGAAATTAAATTTTAGAGGAAGATTAAGTTTCACCATAGGTACAACTTAAAAATGATTAATTCTGAAACAGTTTAAATATAAAAAATGAACAAGGAGTAATGCATAAAGTGCCTAGGGGCTCACGCCTAATATTTTAAACAGATGTAATTATTTGTCCAATTTTTTAGACATTTTCATAAAGAAAATGTTATATATTCTATTAAACTCCGTCAGATTTTCCTTCCTTCCGTCTTCCCAGAGGTAATCGCTATTTTGAACTGGATGAATATAATTCAACATATATTTTGTACATTTTATAGTGTTCCCATGAAAAATAAATACTATTGTTTTGTGTCAAAGATTGCATAAATATTATGAAATTCAACTTTCTGTTCATGAAATTAATCCATGCTTGTTTTGTGTAAAACCAGTTGACTTATTGTGACTAGTGAGTTTGTTAAAGAGGCAGTCACAGTTGAAAGTACAAATTACTGAATTAATCAAGATAAAGACTAAATTGCTATAAATGATAGGTCCCTAAATGCTGTAGCTTAAAGAAGGTAGATGTTTATTTTTCCTAAAAATAACAGGATGAAGTGAGAGTGGCGCAGCGCTGGGATGCAGGGCTTGCATTTGCAGTCATCCTTTCCATGCTTGCTCCCTTTTTCACCATTTCCCAGCCACTGGATATGGAAATTTCAGGGCAAAGGGGGAAGTGTAAGCCAAAATTCTGACTTCAAAATACAATATGGGTCTATCAGATATTCTCTGGAAGATTTGAACTAGGACTCTCAGGAAGAACTGCTCAGTTAGCAACTGAAGTAGATAAGGACGTCATAGGATAACACTGAATCTGTGATGAGTCAAGTGTTGTACAAATTGAGAATAGAGAAAGGGTTAGAGAGAAGGCATATGAAGAGCTAACTGTGAGACTGCAAGAATAAAGATGCATAGATTCCAGTTTCTGACATTCCCAAAAGCCGCAATAGGTTTAGCCCCACTAGCAGTTTTATCATGTCTACTCTTGACCTTGACTTTCCGTAAAGGTCCATTAGAAGCCTGGTGACACCTGTTGCTAACACTGCCCTTCTGACTTGCGTAGGATTCCATATATTACCATGCCTTCAAATGGTACTGAAAACCCAAATCACAGAGTTTCAGTGTGCATAATACAAAAGGAGAACCTTGAGAATGATCATATCTGTATCTATTGCTTAGGCCATATTAATTTTAAAGGTGAGTTTGAACTATGACGATACTGACAGCAACCCAGAAACAGCTACACACATTGAGCCATTAAACAAAGGTGTCACTGGAAGGGTTTGATGCCATTAGAAGGTAGCTAAATATATGCTAAATATATGCACAACAATATATCTCCCAATAAAAGGCTTTAGAGCCATTTCTACCCAAGCACTTAATTGACACCAGAACATTTTGGTGTATTACAGACTAGTCTTTAACTTATAGACTACTTGAAGCCATCCTGCTTATAGCAACCCACTCATGGTTTAATACCATTAGTCTCCCCAAATCCTCACATATTGTTACTGTTCAGTTTATATTCAGAATTAACAATTAATCTGATGAAGATTATAATAAAAATAGATTACAGAGTTGCTATGGTTTGAATGCTCTCTCCAAAACTCATGTTGAAATTTAACTGCCACTAGCATGGTATTAGGAGGTGAGACCTTTGGGTCATTAGGGCCAAGGGATTACTGTGGGTGTGGATGGTTATTGTAGGAGTAAATTTCTGAGAAAGAGCATGCGTTTGGCCTATATTCCCTCTGTCTGGTGCACTTACTTCATTCTTCTGTCCTTCCACCATGGGGTGACCCACATTAAACGCTGGCCCCTTGCTCTTAGACCTTCCCATTTCCAAAACCATAAATCAAAGAAACTTGTTCTTTATAAATTAGCCAGTCTCAGGCATTCTGTTATAACAACAGAAAATGTACTGCAACAAGTGTTGAGACGAAATCTTAAAAGAGGACTGAATAGAAACTTAAAAATTCAGTGCTTACATGTTTATAAGCTAGTATTTATTCATAATAATTAATTAAAACTTATTAGCATTGTGAGAGCACTAGTTTAGGATCCCAGTAGATTTTTACATCTCTGAAAAATGAAGCATTCTTAGCAGATAGTTATGAAATAATTATCAGAGACAGAGAATATACTTTGTATACTTTAAATAAAGAATACGAAAAAAGCATTTTTTAATTTTTAATGAGAGTCAGAGCTTAAAGCCAACTCTTATTCTAGACTAATTATGTCTCACTTAAGACAAGTTAAGTCATAAAAATTAACAGGAATAGTAAAACACATTAAATGATCATTAGTAACTTTAATTATTCTGGTACACCCAAGGGCTCATTCTTCTTTGCTGTCTGTTAGGGTTTTTCCATGAGGAACACAATTCGCCACTCCATTATTTGTGTAGGGGTAAAAATGAATGCTCATATCTTCATAAAGAGTATCTTAAAACAGAATTAGATCAAGATAGATTTGTTGCTTTTTCAAATATTTTTTAAGAAATTTATTTTCTTTTATGGTTTTGTAATTTAATAAGCACAATTATCAGGCTTTATACCATTTTACTATGGACTTATCGAATATGAGTATTTACAACATATTAAAATATGTACTTTCTTTTTAGGGAAAAATGGGGGGGTGATTTCTAGCTTTCTGTCTGTCTGTCGGTCTGTCTCTGTCTCTCTGTCTCTCTGTTGTCTGTGTCTCTATGGTGAGCACACAAGCCCTATAGCAAAATCTCTCTTAAAAAAAAAAATGGGGGACTAGCAGGTGGTGTGGTTAAAGCACCGGACACTCCCATATGGCCAACCATGGTTCAAGTCCCAGACCTAGTGGCTTGCTTTTTCACTTTCTCTCTCTCTCCATGTCTCAATGTAGATAATTAAAATAAATGAAAGAATACAATGAGATTAGAGTTCTTGCTCTTTTTCTATGTTCTAGAAAACACTTGCTTGTGTTAGGAATTAACTTGTTTAGGAAAATTAGAAAGAAGTCACCATTAAAATCTTCTTATCCTAGAATCTGAAGGACATGACTTTTTAAATGCAATAAAATTCTAAATGTAGAATTTTAGTACTCAAATCTTATGTTTCCTGCACAAATTTTGGAATTTTACATTTATTTAATTAATAGCTTACATATAGGTTTTCAAATTTATCTGTGGACATTTGTTCTAAATATAATTCATACTTTGAATTATGAAGATGGCTATGTTCCCTTTTTATTAGCTAAAAAATAGTCTTTTAAAAATTCTTATTTAATCTTTTCAAAATTTTTATCATAATATTTTCAAAGAACTTCCTTAAAATTTTGGATATTTTGTTTACATTTTTTATTGTTTTCTTCTCTCGTCTTTAGAATTCTCTTGTTTCTTATTACATGGAGTTTGGTCTTTTGCCTTCTAATCAACTTTTTGAATTAATGCTGTTTAATTGTCATTTTTTGTAAAAACTGTATTTAAAGTAATCAATTCCCTGTTAGGTATACTTCAGTATGTAGAATTTTAAATCTTATTAAATAGTAAGTGCATTAAATGTATTTTATTAATTATTAATCCAGTGGTAATAAAATGTATATTTCAAATTTTAGAAACAATTTGATCATTTATGAAAACTACTTTTAATTTTACTATAGTAGAGTTGAATATCATATCAAGGTTGATATTTTGAATTTCTAGGGCTTCCTTTATGTATTAATACCTATTTTATTTTCTGCTTATTTATTTATTTATTTATTTTAGTTTGCTGTAGGGCATGTGTGCTCATTCAAGAGCGACAAAGAGGAAGAGAGAGAAAGTGAGGAAGGTTTTAAATGGTTAGAAAGACAAAATAGCAATTACTAACAATGATGATATTGATATAAGTAGTGATGAGGATGATGCTAATATACAATTTTGAGGTTGTTTAAAGTTAATAATGCTCGCCGCTCTACAATGTATGCATTGTTCCATTTAATCATGTACTAAACTGTAAGGTAAGTGGCACTGATACACCTCTTACAATGAAAGGCCCTCAGGTAAATAAAACAACTTGCTTATACTTAAGTAGCCAAGAAGTGATGGAATAAAACTGGAGCAACAGAGGACTGGGGAATAATACTAGCTTTTTCTATCTACCACATGGCAGATACAACTTTAGGAAAAGTTTGTATGTTATTTCATTGGGAATCATCCCCTAAATTTTATAAATAGGAAAACTTGCAGAAAGCAAAGTTTGATAAAGTCCACAAGAGTAGTAAATGGCCCACAGGAATTTAAGCCCAGAACAGTCTTATTCTGAAACACATGCTAACCCATTTAAAGGAATTTCTGGTTTAGCAGAGTGTCTGTGAGGGGAAGGAGAGATCTTCTCTTAAGACTCAATGTTGAGGGGCCAGGTAAGGGCATAATGGTTATCTGGCTGGACTCCCACATAGTCAACCAGGGTTCGAGTCCCAGACCTGGCGGCTTAAAACTCACACCAGATGTGTGTACATGCGAGACCAAGATCCTGAAAAAAGCATGGAGGAGAAAGGACTGTGCATGGTCATCCCCACTGGGGCATGACGTCTTGCCTTCTGTATCTCTGTTGTCTTTCTAGTGAGCACATGTGCCTGATAGCAAAAAATCTCTCTAACCAAACACACACACACACACACACACACACACACACAACAGATTCAACGGTTGAGCCATAGAGAAGAAATGGCACACATGTGGAGGTGAGAGCAAAGTTGATTTAAATAGTCCTTCCTCGTTTCTTTTCAAAAAGGTGCCTTCTTTGTTCACAAAATTTCCCACACGAGTATTCTAACTTCGACCAGTGCTCTTTCAAAAGTTAGACTCTTCCTTTTGGACCTAGACTTTGTATAACATACTGGAATGATCATGAGTTTATACCTCACTGTCTAGCCTACTGCATTTGTAAATGTAAACTAGATACTTAACTGCTCTGAGTTACACCTTTTCAGTAAAGAAACAATAAAATAATGTGTAAAAATCTAATGAGGTTAAATCTAATTTCCAGCCCTGCCTTCATGAGCACCACCCTTCCTGCCAACAGTAAATATCGGTTATTTACATTTTAGTAGGGGTCAAAGGAACATCACCTTGAGAGTGATCATCTGGAGAGAAGATTTAAACTGACCCTCTACTGTAGGGTCTTTCAGGATCATTTGCAGAGTTGATTAAATAGGCAGATTCTGCCCCAGCCCCGGAGAGATTCCTATTCAGTGCATGTGGAGTGTGGTTTAAGAATCCATGGAGTTCAATTTCCTTCAAAGTTATACCCCATAATCTGATAGCCATTGATGTGACTTCTCAACATGAATTCTTCATCCCTGTCCATCCTTGGGTCTCTTATCCATAAGAAAAGGTTGGGGATTCTACGACCACTAAGAATCAAAACATCAATCTTTTCTTGGAATGAATGCTGATCACATATTATTCTGATCATATTGATTGAAGTTTGTTTTATTTTCACTTTCTTTTTTTATAGGTGTTTGTCCCATGGTGATTTTGGAAAAAGAAAGAAATTTCCCAACCCCAAACCAAAGGACAGAAGGAAGAACTTACAGTGGCCTGGTGTTTTTCTGCTTTCTCAGATGTCTCCTTAAGTTGATTTTGCAAGGCCTCCTGGAGAGACTTCATTTCTTCCCTAGTTTAGTTGAAAATAGAAAGCAAAAGAGAGAAAACATAATTCTGTTATTTGTATGTGCCTTATGAAAGGAAGTTCTGCTGTCTACTTACATTTAGGATAGAGATAACTAAAAGTGTATAATGCCACAGTTAAACATACAGAATGTATCTAAACATTTTGGTAATAAAGGGCTTTCTCTGCTATCCAAATACTAAAAGCAAGCTATATTTAAAGGAAATTGCCTGCCTATTATGTTTTATAAGAATCCCACGGTGTGACTCATCTGTGAGTTGCATAATGTGTTAAATCAAATCAATATAATAATTTGAGTTGAAAAGCTAATTTCACCAACAGCATGCCAGGGTGCGAACATGCTGGTTAGAAAAAGTCACTACAGACTTGCTGATAGAATGAAATTGCTGTTCCCTTCTAGTGCTTCTAATTGATTAATTCTAAAGTATTGTGCTTTAGACATCCTTGATAAGCCTGGAGAATTTTCATAAAGACAAAGGGAAAAGAGGCTTATTTCTAACTTGACGTGGCTTCATTTAATGGAGACAATAAAGGAAATACATATCTGTACATATATACACATTATCTATAAATTCATTAACATATGGACTCAGTCTCCCTTGTTAAAAATGCAAATAACTTCAGAAAATAACATTTCCCTCAGAGTTTAGGATTTACTCATTTATGACAAATCATACTATCTTTCTATACATTGACTTTATTGTCAATTATTTCAAAAAAATCAGATATTAGATAAGAATTGTGTGAGGTGAAGGGTGTGTGTGTGTATGTGTGTGTGTGTATGTGTGTTAATTCTGACTAGAAAAACTTCCATAAACAATACCAACAGCAAAACAGAAACCTGTTCTAATCTTAGCAATAACCAAACTTGTTTAAAATTCTCAACTTATTATCGAAAGACTAACTCTGAAGACAAGTGAAAGTCCCTCTTGGCAATAAATGATCTTTAACAGTCAAATATTTGGTAAGTACTGAATGAAACACAAATTATATTTCCAACTGCAAAAAAACTATAAGAATGTTACAATGAAAATTACTAATTTAAGTATTTAAAACTTCCTGTTTTATTTTTAAATAATACATATAAAATATTTAACAAAAATTTATTATACAGAACCAGCAGTTAGCGTAATGGCTATGTCGCTGGACTCCCACATAGTCGACCACAGTTCACGTCCTGGACCCGGTGGCTTAAAACTCATGCCGGGCACGTGTGCGTGTGAACCCAAGATTCCGAGCAGAGAATGGAGGAGAAGGGATTGAGGCATGACCATCCCCCCTGGGGGGGGTGATTTCTCGCTTTCTGTCTCTATGTCTCTCTCTGTCTGGTGAGCACATGCATCCTATGGCAAAAACCTCTCCGAAAAAAAAAATTATTATAAAATATATTTTATTTTTTCAAAAAATTCCTCATAATAATATCTAGAGGTGATATAGAGAATAAGATGAAACATATTCTAAAATCTGTTAACAAAAACTAGAGAAGCTGAATATTGCATTTTCTTTTTTCTTTTTTCTTTTCTTTTTTTTTTTTTTTTTTTGAGAGATTTTCACTATAGGGTGTGTGCACTCACCAGAGAGAGAGACATAGAGACAGAAAGCGAGAAATCACCCCCCCCCCCCAGGGGGGATGGTCATGCCGCAATCCCTTCTCCTCCTCCATTCTCCTCTCGGGATCTTGGGCACATACGCACACGCACCCGGCATGAGTTTTAAGCCACTGGGTCTAGGACGCGGACCGCGGTCGACTACATGGGATTCTAGGGACATAGCCATTACACCAACTGCTGGTTCCCAATTTTGCATTTTCATGCCATGGAAAGCAGGCAAAATGATAAGACAGGCCTTTTGTCTTCTAGATCTCTCCATCTTCTCTTCTTATTTCCTCACATCTTCATTGCTATCATGCACTAAAACATTCTTGCTATGTAGGTGCACTATGATCTTATGGGAGATAATTCTGCACACTTATCCCCACCAGTGGGATTTGCCCAAACTCTATCTCATTCTTCAGGGCTATATTAGTCCAGAATTGAAGCTTTATTTTAAAAAATCATAAACTCTTATTTTCACTTAATTGTTGTACATCCTTGGGAGGTATAATACGGTTTTTCAAAACATACATGCAGCATGCAATAATTAAATCAAGGATTCTACTATATTCATTATTTTCAACAAATAACATTATATTATGTTGTATACTTTCAATTTTTGTTCTGTTAGGTTTTCTTTCCCCGTTTTTAGGCACATATGTAATGATATTTTCAATGCCTTTTTTATTTTTTTTTTCAATGTATTGTGGTGTACCAACATAGCCGAGCTGCCTGTTGTGGCTGATAGACATTTTTTATTGCGTCTGTTATCTACAGTTGCCTTCTTGCTTCTATGCCTTTGACTCTTTCAGTTTCTGCCATATAGTGCAGACTTTTGCCGTATGTTAAGCAGGGACATACCGTGTTTATCTTTCCTAGTCCAGCTTATTTCAATTAATATTAAATTTTCTAGATTCCACTTCGTACTGAATGTAGGAACTCACCATTCTTTATGGCTGAGCAGTACTCCACTGCGTATCATGCCATGTTTCCGTAATCTAGTGATCAGGTTTTGGGCATTTAGGTTGGCTCTGTGTCTCTGCTATTGTGAATACTGCTGTGATTAAGGCAGAGGTGCAAGTATCTGAGTGATTTCCTGTCTTTTGGGCAAGTATCAGGAGTGGGCTTTGATTCTAAAGAGTTCATGTTTCCAAGATACCTGTCAGATGCCTTAGCATATTTTAGTGTAGAGTTTTGTGCTATCAAAATTTTAAAGGGCTACTCTTTCACACCTCATCCATCTCAAACTATAAATATATAAAAACACTCACCAGATCACTTCACAGGGAGAATGTTATCAAATGTTTATCAGCTTGTATTTTAATAACAGCACAGATGGGGAACTTGCCACTCTTCCACACATTCTTGTAGTTTTCAGGAAACACTTTTTAAAGTTCTTTTGTACACTGTGTTTAAAACTGCCTTTGAGGAATCACTACCCGCCAACCACCATAGAGAATAAAATGATTTTTATCCTCTTTTTTCCTCAAGACAGCCTTTCAGACAGTTCAGGTATTTTCTTATTCCCCAGTCTCTTTCCTGTGGTTATGATCTTTCACTCCTGCCATGGTATGATTTAAAATCTTTCTACTAACCCAGGACTGTCCTATGGCATATCTAGGCTGTCTAAATATTTCTGAAAATGTAATTCAGTAGTTCCTCTCTTATCCATGGGAGATTATTTGAAGAGCTCCAGGGATGTCTGATAGTACCAAAAAGCAGAGAGTGCCAAACCTTGCACGTACTTTTGTGTCATTGGAAAAGTCATGAAGCTTTTTTGCACAGAAAAATATCATGACTTTTTCGACAACCCAAAACATTTTTCTATGCATATATAGTTATAATGAAGTTTAATTTATAAACCGGTCGCAATGAAAGATAATGAAATAACTAACAATAGAATAGTCACAACAGTGCGTTGTAATAAAACTCAGGTGAATGCGGCCTTTCTCAAAATATCTTACTGTACTGTACTCACTATTTTTGGATTGCAATTAACTGTGGGTAACTACAATCGGAAAGTGAAATTGTGGACAAGGAGGGACCATTATGCTCTAGAACCTACACCAGCCTTATTGGCTCTTTCTCTGTCTTTCACACACATGCACACCCTTCTCTCTCTCGGCAGAAGGATGCTCTCTTTCTGTCTCTGCATAATTTGTAGGTGGCTACCCATTTTCTCTGCATTTGCTTACAGTGTAGGTCCAGCAATAGAAAGAAACTGATTGTGTTGCCTCTTGATTACAATTCCAAGAGGAAAAATTTCATTTATACTTTTTTGTTTTGTTTCGTTTTTGTATATAGTTTTGTTTTTGTGATCGCCTCTGATCCAATTATCTATGGCCAGTGGTTTCAGAGTCGCATAAAAGTAGCATGGCTTCCAGGGACCACTGCTCTAGGTAAAGGCCCTATGGTAAGTTTCCGAGGACAAGGGATCCAGAGGACTGGATGGTGATTGAGAGCTGGGCACATCATTAAAGGACATCGATAACACACTGCCTTTATTCAGACTCAGGTAAGACTTCTAAATTTGTAGTCAGCTAATCTTTCTGACATCCAAAGATAGCTTTCTTCCCATTTTACTGTTTATTAACGTCTCTACTTTTGGAAATTAGGTACTCAATCTGCTTTACAAACACTTAACCATGGCTGTTATAGTTCTCTAAGGAAATGGCAAAAACTAATATAGTGAATGTCACATCCTTTTGAGAAATTACCTATTGTTAGAATATATTGAGTTTTCCATCCTGACTTTAATTTTGCACGTAATACAAATTATGCCTCTGGAATAAGTTTTCTAATTTTAGATAATTTTAGATAAAACTTTGAAATTGCCGTTCCCAAATATATGCTCCATTTTATCTTTCATTGAAAGACTTGATCCATCCTCTGGTAGTTTGTACATTATGGTGAATGTGTAAAGGGTGAGATGAAATTCTTAATAAATGTAATCACATTTTTCTTGGTTTCCCTTGGTGTTTTTGTCTGTCATATGAAACAGCTGTACACACAAGTGCATGCACATCTATTTGCTAGAGGGTGTGTGTGCTTGCCAGAGAAAGAGAGAGAGGGACAGGAGAGATATAATAATATATATATCCCCATGGGCAATGGTCACACTGCAATCCCTTTTCCTCCATCTCTTTCTCCTTTCAGGGTTTTGGGCATGCACATGCCCAGTGTGTTTCTCAAGCCAGGGAGCCAATACTGGAACCTTGTGGTTGCCATATGCAATCCAGCTGTCTTAACCACAAGGACATCATGGAGCCAGCCCTGTATTTTTTTTTTTTTTTTAATACCAGGAAACTATAGAATCTGGCTTTTCCTCTTCACATCAACGATAAATCTCTCTCTTCATTTGTGCCCTTCCTATAGTAAGGGAAGGCAAGTTTATTGGTCTTTCAATCCATGGTCTTCACAGGGCATTTCTCCCTGTCCTGGTTCCTAAGCTGTTTTCTCTAACCCTGGTTTATAACTCTCTCCTTCCCTGAACAGTACTGGCAGAATCATTTCCTAAAATGCTTTTTTAATCATCTCCTATAGACCTACTCAAAATAAGTTTTCTGTTGCTTATCACTGAAATTCACTCTCGGCAAAACTGTAAGGGTTTTTGTTTTTGGTCCCAGTCTCTGCATTCAGCTTTGTTTTCTGATCTTCTCTGACTCGTTCTGTTTTCTTCAGGAACTTCGATCCTCTCATGGGTGCCACACATGCACTGTGCCGAGGTCATTTCTACTGTCCTATTTTCGTTCATTATCCTTTCCCAACATAAACTACTGTACAAAAAAAAAAAAATCACTTTCAGCATTTCTTGGTCCCTTTTGACTAGTTATTTTTATTCAAAATGTTGTTTATAATTCTCCATCACTACATTAATGAGCTTAAGTTATATGGAGCATAGCCTTTTGAGAGGTGATTTATTTCAAACCAATAAAATAATTGAAATAATGTAATTTTTTATAGACATGCTCAAATTGATACCTTATTCACTCTTTTTTAATACTGGACTTCAAAGAAAATGTCCCATTCAAGAAATAGTCCTGGGACCAGCAGTTAGCGTAATGGCTATGTCACTGAAATCCCATGTAACTGACCGTGGTTCAAGTCCCAGACCTGGTGGCTTAAACTCACACCAGGCGCATGTGCGTGCATGCCCAAGATCCCAAGAGGTGAATGGAGGAGAAGGGATTGTGGCATGGCCATCCCCCCTGGGGGGTGATTTTTCTCTGTCTCTCTGCCTCTCCCTCTCTTTCTGGTGAGCACATGCGTCCTATAACAAAAGCCTCTCAAAAAAAAAAAAGAAAAAAGAAAAGAAAAGAAAACAACAACCTTGTCATTGTAAATAATAAAATAAGTCAATACAAGACACTCAATTTGATATTTTCAATTGATGTCATTGACACCATCTGAATCCTGTCACTAATAGGTTTCTGGGCCAAGAGGCAAGATCAGTGGAGGAGAAGCAGTGATGAGAAGGGACTTGGAAACTCTTCTGTATGGCGTCACATCTGAAAACTTTTTAGCAGTTTGTGTTGTGATCAGTGAGTCAACATGAGAGCTTGTGGCTGTTGGATCAGCAAAAGGGGTGTTTAAATCCACATGCAAATCAACATGCCCCTCACCAATTCAAGTATGGCTTTGAACAACCATTTCTTTTCTATGAAATAATAATATCATCTTCCTTATAAGGTACTTGTGAGGATGAAACAAGAAACTGTACATAAAGCGTCTAGAAGAATCTCTAGTAAATACATAAGAAATGTGACTGTTTCTACCTTAAACTATCTATTTTTGGGGGGGCCAGCAGGTGGCATGGTAGTCAGGGCACTGGACTTCCAAATGGGTAACCACAGTTTGAACCTCAGACCTAGCAGCTTGCTTTCTCACTTTCCCTCTCTGGTGAACTAATAATGATAATAAGAATAAATTAAATTAAATAAATAACTATTTTTAAGTCTTTTTTAAGAGGTTTTTGCTATAAGGCACATGCGCTCACCAGAAAGAGAGAGACAGAGAGACAGAAAGTGAGAAATCATCCCCCCCACCCAGGGGAGAAGGCCACGTCGCAATCCCTTCTCCTCTATTCTCCTCTTGTGATCTTGGGTACACATGCACACAAGCCTGGCGTGAGTTTAAGCCACTGGGTCCAGGACTCGAACTGCAGTTGACTTCATGGGAGTCCAGTGACATAGTCATTACGCCAACTGCTGGTCCCAAGTCTGTTTTGTTCAAGAAGCAGTTTCAAAATTTATGTGATTTTTTTATAAGTCACAGAAATTTATCTCATTTTATATTTCCCTTAAAAATAAACAAACCAGCACTAACAATATTGTACTAATTCTGCTTATATCTGTCATAAGACTACGCCATTCCTTACTACCCACCATCCTCCTCAAATTAAGTGTGGATCTTATTAAACAATGTCCACTGAGGTCAGTTTGATCTGACTTGTCTGTTGGTGGGCAGCCTGGTGAAGGCCCACATTACTAATGCAGGAACGTATCATAGATCCTTAACCCTCCAAATGTGATCTGCAGACAAGGAACCTCAGCTTCACCATCACCAAACAGCTTGTTATAAATGCAAAATCTGAAGCCACACCCCAGGCTGAATAAATAAAAATCTTCATTTGAATAACATTCCCAAGTGAATCAGGTGTACATTCAAGTGTAGTGAAGACAAACAGGAACAAGCATTTAGATTGTGTGGCTTCTAGTGAAATTTCTGTAAATATTTTGACTCCATGGCAAGAACTGAGGGAAAAATGCAGAGGGAAAGCACAATCTTACCTTTGTTTCTGGCCAAATTCCAGAAGCTTCTGAACATCAGTTTTGGCAGATTGCTCATCGTTTTTTAAAGACTGAGAAAAAAAAAAAAAGTGGGGAAAGAAAGGCTTATTCCAAAGACAATATGAGGCCCAGGTTACTTTGGCTGCAGAGCACAGAGTACAACTGCACCTTTGCCTTGTGACAAGACTGTGAAGAGGAGGTCCCCATGGCCCTCATGGCTCTAAGGCTGCGCAGGAGAGTTCTTGGCACCGATTACAGCACATGCTCCATAGCGGGAGAAGGGGACTGAGAAAAGCCTCAGCAAAGTTCAATGGAGGATAGACTAGTCTTCTAATAGTAGGTCTCTTTATAAATGAATATAAAATAGACCTTCTGCTCTTCCTTTGAGGTTGTACTGTGTTCTCTGCAGGCATGTTAAACCAGCTCGGGCATAACTTCTACAAATACAAGGGACATAGACAGCCTCCCCGAGTGAGTCAGGAAATAATACAGTTCAAGATGAAAGGCATGTGCCTCTTTGGTCTTGATCACTTCTTACTGATGAGTAATGCAGTCAGACATACACAAAAAACAGAGCTATGAAAAAATTGTAACTGGTTTCCATAGATAGAGGATGAATTAAAAATATAGATAAACTGCCTCAGTCGTTAATGTGTATATACTCTGGCAAGTTCTAGATTGAGAATTTATCAGCTGAAGCCAGAAAAGGCCCCTGAGCTGCTTCTCATAAGAGAATCTGTCTCATTAAGCTTTTTCTAATAACTTTCTTATTTATACTCAATAAACTGTTTAATAGTGTAACCTGTCATTCTGGACATTAAAAGTAAAAACTGAGAACATTAATACTGTTTGCAGATGAGCAGCTGTGACAGGTCTGGAATTGAGAATAGCAAGAAGGGCATGCATTTTGTTTATTTAGTATTTATTTAACAAATATCTATCATGAATTATACAAAGACCTATACAATGGCAAGGTGCCCACCTTCACAAATCTTTCAGTCTGATGCTATAAACAGACACTTTTAATAGAGTAGGATCGGCAATATAATAGGTATACAGTGGGATAAACTTTACAAGACAATCCTCTTGTCTAAGATGGCTGGCAGGTTCTCGTAAAGCAGCCAATGAACAGTGCCCTATTTATTGAAACAAGTATCTTCACATAAAGTACAAAAAAAGCAGGATGAATAATTAAAGTGGAGGAAAAAGCCATAATTCAAGGTATAAACAGACCAAAGTACATCATGGTCTCATGATTGGGACAGGTCACAAAACTGGTCCTTTTGACTTCTTCATATTAAAAACACAAATTCTGGAGAACTTGGTTTAAGCCATTACAGGAAAACACAAAGGGGATAATGTGTAAAAGCGCTTATTGAAAAGTGCAATAAAATTTTCCCTATTTGTTTATTGATCATCTTGTATATTTGTTATTCTAGACGAAATTAAGATGGAATGGTCAGGAAACTGTACTCAAAAAGGAAAAACAAACAAACAAACAAAAAGCTGAGAGACAGAAAAGAAAAGGATAAATATGCAGATGAGAGAGAGCAAGGTGAACTCAAATGAGATGAACGGAAGTGTACTTGGTTATCACTCACTCAGCAATGCCCAGAGAAGGGAATTATAAGTTTTCTGAAAATAATGTTTCCTTTAATGATACCCAAGGTCGATATACTTATTAGTTAGCCAACGTGTTGATTAATTGCCCTATATTACCATCTCATGTAGATGTGGTTACAGAAGTGAATGACTCAATGCTCCTATCTTCAAAAATTCCTGTTTGTAAAGAAATAAATACAAGAGGCTATATATTTACTTATTAAAAGTTAAAAACTTGGAGTCATAATTTATTATATGTATGATTTTGGACAATTGCTTTGGCCTATTTGAGACCCATTTCCCCATTTAATAATGAGTCTATATTCTCTAACTCTGATGAAGAGGTTTCTAAGAAGACTTAATAAGAAAAAAAATTAAAAACATCATGCCCATTATCTGGCACAAAATAAACAAAAGGCATTTAAATAATTACCACAGTCAGTTGGGGGATTGTACCCTTTCATAAAATGGAATTGTACATTTTTATGAGGCAATTTTCTAGACTATAATTTGATATTTTGATTTGGGCTACTGGTATAGAGATTGGATGTCCTGAAAATATCGTAAACACTGACCACTTCAAGGCATTTCAACATATGTTTGCCATAGTCTCAGTGAGTCAGGTGCTCCATGCCCCTGAGAAGGTATAGGTGTCTTCGATGTTCTTCCCAGTTGTATGTACCTGGTGAACTTTCCCTGAAGGATGCAGTGGAGCTGTGGGAATAAATATGTACCCCCATTCATCCTAGTCAGTGTTCTCTAATGCTCTGTGCCCACCCACATCCCTCATAGCACTGTTTTATTTGCCAGAGGATGTTTGCGTTTGCCAGAGAGAGAAGGAGCAGCCTCTTACGGTCGCACCCAAAACATTCTCTTCCATTTCTCCCTCCAATTAGGATTTTGAACATGTGCACACATGTGCTCAGCATGTTTTCCAAACCATGTGGGATGCAGCTCCCTTAGCTCCCAGGTTCCTGGGCCAGCCCATTCATAGCACTATTATCTCTGTACTGTTATTATCCTGGCACTGCTCTTTCCATCCTGTGGGGTTGTAATGACTTTTTTTCTCTTATTTTCATCTTCTCCAGATGTAGTAAGTTATCAGGAAAGCCATGATGTATTTTTCTATGCAAAAATGTGTCATGACTTTCCCAACAACTCAATGACAAACTTCTGGGACAAGAGCTCAAGCCCTAGGTTCAGATATTAGCTCTGTCCCCTAAATATCTGGGTATCCTTCACTTTGTAATCTTTCTGTAACTGTTTTCTTATCTATTAAGTAAGACTAATACAACTATAGGACAATCTCCATGTGAAAATTAGATAAAAACTGTGGAATCAGTACTTGTATTAAGTACTCTTTGACCAGATTCAGTAAGCTTTACTGGTTTCTCACATCACTTCAGTATCATCATCCTCATGGGAATAAAAAGCTAGGGAGAAGAACGCTGACAACAGTAAGGTCCTGTGGTCAGGTAAGGAGGTTCAGGCTGACCCAGGCATAATGAAGCAGGAAGTAAAGTGCTGCTGGGTGATGGGGGGGGGGGGGGGGGGGGGAGGCTTGGACTTTGGATGCAGGATTAAACCTGAATACACTAAACATGTCTGTACGTTTGCCTGTGATCCCGGGTGACCAGTAGCCTTGAAGATCACTAAGTGGAAGACCCTGGGCGCTCGCTCCCTCTCTCTCTCTCTCTCTCCTCCCACCAACGTTGAAACAATGGGCTAGTTTAACAACTAATGGAGAGGTTCAGAAATCAGACTGCCTGCATGTAAACTTGTATCTTCTGTAATATTAGAAAATAACATCTTGGATCAGCCAGGTGATATGGTAGTTAAGATGGCTTGTAAAACACTCTGGGTGCATGTGTGTGTGTGTGTGTGTGTGTGTGTGTGTACTCAAAATCCCAGGAGGAGAATGGAGGAGAAGGGAATACGGGATGGCTATCCCCTCTGGGGGAGGCGATTTCTCACTTTTCCTCTCTTTCTCACTGTCTCTCACTGACAAGTGCATGCACCCGATAGAAAAATAACCAACAAACACATATACATCTTTCAGCATTATCTCCCATGTATAATAAGGAAAATCACAATAATAATATTAACTACCTCATAATTATGTTATGAGAATTAAATTATATAACACAAAAGTTTTAGCATATAATAGGTAGGTATTCAATGAATGTAATGTTTACAACAAATATTAAAATATTTTTAAAGATATATCAGAAACTTTTCTTAACACACATAGATCTCGGGTTTTTTTGTTTGTTTGTTTGTTTTTTTATTGAGATTTCACTGTGTGAATACGTTTGTGCAGATGACACGCCTCTCTGAGGCATTCTCTCATTGCAGTAATGAGGTTTAATAAAGACTCTTCAGAGCTATCCTGGGGGGGATTTACAATTATCTGCTAGACATCATTTCTATATTCATTTAACTCTTGGTCATAATTGCTTTTTGTCATTTTATAATATGAAAAACACAGGGGTCAAATTGTTCCTATTTAGAAGCTGTGAGGAATTGATGGTTTTTCCAAGCACATTTTTTTTCATTCCTAATTTTGCAAACCACAGATTCTTAGACTGAATTTCAGATGACATTCATTTTCAAAGCTCATTTAAAATTAAAGCATAATTCCCCTGGTCAAGCTCAGAAATATAGTAAGAACTTTAAAAAATATATGTTCATCCATCATGGAGAATCAGGCAACTGCTCATTTTTGGCTGCTAGGAAAAATAGTTTCCATCTCACCTGGAGGTTGACTTTAATTCCATCAAGCTCCCTTGATGTCTTTGTGAGCTGACGGAGGATGGTGCTTCGCTCCTTAAAGACTTCTTTCAGCTGCTTTTCTAGCTCTTCATAGTCCTGTCTAACACAGAAAGTAAAGACATGAGAGCCCTCAAATGCTTACACTTGACATCTGTCATAATCGTAACTCTCACATTTTGGGGAGATTGTAGATTAAAACTTTAAATACTGGGACAAGCAGATGGCATAATTGTTATGTCGCTGGACTACCACGTAGTCACTGGCAGTTCAAGTCCTGGACCCAGTGGCTTAAAGCTCACTCAGAGTGCATGTGAGTGCACACCCAAAATCCCAAGAGGAGAATGGAGAGAAGGGGCTGTGGAATGGTCATCTCTCTTTGGGACTGATTTCTCACTTTCTGTCTCTCTCTCTCTGGCTTTCTTGCAAGTGCACATGCCCTATAACAAAAATCTCTCTTAAAAATACCCTAATTACTGGGATGTTTTGTTCTTATGATTTCAAATAGAAGTGAAAAGCTTCAAAAAAAAAAAAAAACAGTTTTATTATAAGGATTTCATTTTCATTCACATAACCTAGGCTCCTGAGAGGTTCCAGAACAATATTGTACATCTGTATGTATAAGATAATTTATCAGACATCTCTTAGAATGTAGATATTTTCCAAGACAATGCCACAGGTTTTGAAATTTTACAGCAAAAGATATGCTTTGGAGCAATGTATTTGAGAGACAGAGACAGGTTCTGAAATGGGGTGAGGAGACAATCATAGGAGTAGAGCCAGGCTGGGAAGCATGGGCCTTGCTTATTCCTTGTTTGAAGAGAAGAAAACTTACTAAAAATGCCTCCCTCTCCCCAGCCAAACATATCTAAAAATTGCTATTAAAGAGGTATTGGGAAAAATCATATTTCTATGAAAATCAATCAATAAAAAGTTTTTGAAGTGAACTTTGGAGAGATTAAATTATTCTCCCAAACTTCTATTCAAAGAAAGTTTAGGCAAATAGCATGTCCGTGTGGGCCTATGTGTATGTGTTTGTGTGTGGATGTGTGGTATATGTGGTGGGAGGAAACACATAATGACCACTGTAGCCCAAAACTGCAACTGATAGGGAGAGTTAAAGTGATTATTTGGTGCATATGAAAAAGCTACAAATCAAGGGAAGAAAACGTCCTTTAAAAAGTATTAAAAATACATGTGATTTGAAAGATAATAATTAGTCATATGAAGTGAACACATTTATGAATACGAATGGAAATACATTTATTGAATTAAGAAACAAAACAAAGTGAATACATGTTAGAGGCTTAGAGCCTTAATGGGGGGTGGGTGATTTGATATTGAAACAAGATGTGGAACATGTGGGCAAATGCATGCAAAATTCTCAGGTCAGCTTCGGGAGTTGGACACTATTTTGAGAACAAGGAGACACAATTAAAAGGTTTTAAGCAGAGTTACATGGTTGGATTTATATTTTGGAAAGATTCCCTTAGCTGAAAACTTGGAAGTGGATTGAAGCAGGGAAAATCAGGAGAAAGGAAGGCTGCTAAGGAGGTTTCTGACAAAATGGCTCAGGGGTAAGGTTATCGTGACCTCATGGACTCAGAAGCACGGAGGACAGGAGAACTTGAACTGATGCCAGCAAAACGCAAGATGGAACTGACAGGATATCTGATCTTTTGTTGTTCATTTTTTAATAATTTTCTCTAAGTGTTTTTGGGAAAG